TACCGGTGACACGTACGGTACTAGGGGCATTTCTGCAAAGGCCCCGAGGGCAKAACTGAAAAATGCAGTATTTGAAAGTGGCGCCCGAATTGCAGCATGGCGCCAGTTGTCCAAAATCCTACGGTACCAAAGGAGGGGTTTGGAAAAAGGGTGCCAGGCCGAAAACGGGATGCAGCTGAAACAGCAAAAGATAGACCAGGGATCGAGCCCTGGCGGAGTCCGTAACAGAATCCCTCTCAATTGTAGTTGAGGGTGGCTGACATTGAGATCCATTGCCATCCTCCCTCATTTGTGCTGTTTGCTCACTCACGACCTTCAGCAACTGTACCCTTATCTCATCGAGGAAGTGCTCGAGTCAATGCTCCCATAGACTCCAACCCCTTATTCAGCAGCAGCTGTTTCACTTCATGCCCATCTTGGCCACTGGTGTTATCGAATGCTGAAGATCTCCCGTCGCTCGTCTGCCACAGTCTGTCATTCGCGTTGGAGGCAGTTCTCTCATTTCCATTTTGAGGATCCCACTCCCTGTAGGCAACAACACTGCCATTTACATTTTTCAGAGCCTCAGAGACATTCGCATTTCCGGCAGCCTGCACATTCCGAGGTACTTCGGGGTTGTCCAGATTGCTCGAGCTGTCCCTAGCACTCTGATGCTCCACTCCATCCAGCTCTCTTGAATTTTTGTCGCCGACCTCGCCCTGATCCTGGAAGGGTGACGACGACGCTGACTGTGGAGTAGATGGCTTTTCAAAAGACTGTTGCATATCGGGTGCCAGTTTCTGGACTGCCGACTGTGATTTCCATGTGCGTTGCGAGGACTTCAGTTGACTCTGCGCTTTGGTCGCTGCCTGCAATGATGGCCATACAAATTCCTGTAGGCTTGCTGGCAATGGTGAGGGACTTACTGACGTTGACGAAAAAGGTGGATCCTTCGCAGTTGGTGCCGTTGGCCTTGATAGGTTAACAACTTGTGCAGGAAGGTGGAAGAGGAGAGGTGAGGGTGGTGATTGCACGATGTCCTCGGGGGTGGCAGGTGCTTTCAATGGGTCCATCTTGCGGAATGTGACCGAAATGCGCGGCGTGGGAACACTCGGGATGCAGTGTTTCGCGACGTCTGCCCCATTGCCGTTCAAGATCAGGACAGAACTGCAGGAAGAGATGAGCAAAACCGAGCAGAGATGGCCCACAACAATCACGACAACAACAGTTAATGTCAATTATTACAAACAGACAAACAACCAATAACAAGTACCAAATTGGAACAGAAGAAAGCGAAGAAAATAGTTGCTTCAGTACTACCGTCTTCCGCTCAATAGAACATACGGTCATCACAAAGCTGTAGTTGGGGCAACTCTCCGTCTAGACACAGCGATAATTACCGCACGTTCTATTCGGGGGAAGGCAGTACTGGTAGTCACACGATCCGTGCCCAATCTGTGAAGGGATCAAAACTTCAGTTGGAGTGGTTGCCAGTTCAAAATACTTAAAACCACCACTCAATCCGCCGCATCTGGACCTGTTTTGACAAAAGTTCTTTCTAAACAAAAGAGTGACGGTCTTGAGATATCATCATCGAGTTGACCGGCCCCAGGTAATTGAGGAATTATTTCATTGAATTCATCAATGTCCAGCAGGATTTGAACTTGGGTGAAGTTGGGTCTATAACTCAACAGTTCATGGGTGGTGTACCAACTGAGATAGAAAATTTGCATTTCCCTGAGCCTGATATCTACAGTGCTGCAGTGAGGAAAAATAGTTGTGGTACCCTTCCCCACGGAACCTCTACCGGGCCTGGGCACTGTAGATTTGGGCCCGGTACTTGATGTCAAGAAAAATGACCAGTGCAGGGGCCGCTGCAGTGGTTGCTTAAGCTTAGATAGGGTTGTATATACATAAATTATAAACATATATATTCTTGAAAAGACTTGGATATAGTTCGCATGTCAGCGCTCTTGAGAGTGATGGCGAGATAGCTTTTTCTATATAAATATATATTGTCACATAACTATGAACTACAAGAGCGCACTTTGTGAAACAAACGGTAAAGATTAGAAAACAAAACAAAGATGACGGGCACACCGAAACCATTCATTTTTCTCATTCTTCTTGTAACTCCCCCTTGCCGTGCCTCTCACAGAGCATGAGCTGCCCGCATTGTGCCATAACGGCCCACTTGTACGCTGTGAGAAAGAGGCAGGGTAAAGGGGGAGGTGATAGACAGGGCAGAGAGATGAATAGAAGAGAAACAAAGAAGGAAAACGGGAAAGTAAGGGAAAGTACGGAGTGTGGAATGAAGATGAAGGCAAAGGAGAGGACAAGAAAAGGCTCAAGAATGAGTCTGTCCTTGACTACAGAGAGGACAAGAAAACACTCAAGAATGAGTCTGTCGTCGATGACAGAGAGGACACACATTGTAAGGATGAGGTGGATGGGTACATGGAAGACCTATTTATAGTACATATCATCATAAAGAACTTCCCGGTGCACCGTACCCGGAGAGGGAGAAGAAGACAACGAACAAGGGGCTGTGACAGACCCTTTCGGAGTTTCACCAACTTCAGGAGGCTGAATACATGCATAAATAGTTACTTTCTAACAAGGTATTGTTATTATACGCTAACAATATGTTAATGTGCGAGGATTGAGCCCTCACGGGGCCCTTACAGATATGCAAGTGTTCTGGGCTGTGGCCCCCAGCAAGCATTGTGCCTGCCCTAAGTAAAGGCGGGCCTGCATATCCACGTGAGGCCTACTTTCAACATTTTCCATATGTGGGGTATCAGACTGTTGCAGCACGCCAGTTGGTTACCGAGCAACGTGAGCCTTCAGAGGGCCGCCTGGGCACAGGCTGTGTGAGGCCGACACATCACGGACTGGCCGCGGGCCGATGAGAATGCAGCATTGTCGTCACACATACACCGTGAGCCAATGAGAATGCGGCAAACACTTGGAGCCTGGAGGGCTGCCTGGATGCACTGGGCGCAGACACTGGGGGCCGACTGGAGGCTACTGGAAACTCGTCCAGCCAGGCCCACGCAGCCAAACACAGGGCCGCACTCTCCATAAAGGAAAGTGCCCTGCCCAGGCAGCGACATTCAGGCCTGAGCAGGCAATGTGGCCACGCTGCTGCACTGTCTTGCAATGCTGCGCTAAGCAGCCAGGACCGGGCGCATGTGGGCGCACAGAAGTGAGAAGGCGCTGGGGTGGCAGTGGGCGCACGGTGGCCATAGCCGGGCCGAGCGTGCGGGTGAGGGTGATGGCGATGGTGGTCTTCGCGTAGGAGGCGCACGCGGAGGGGTGTCAAGGTGTGATGAGGAGAGGAGAGAGAACGTACCTGGTGAATGTTGGCGGTTGGCATTGGTGATGATGTCATGTACATTGGTCTTCAACTTCGATGTGGTCCAGTTGCATGAACGTAGATAGGATGGATAGGCTGAATAGTGTAGGCTGGGCGCTGGGCGCCAGACAGTAGGAGCGACATTAAATGCTGTGTTGGTATGACCAGAGAGCGTCGGCATTGACACTTGAGTTCATTGTATTGCTCTTACTTGGATGGTATCTTGGTGCATTGTGCTCTCTGCTTGGTACATGACTATCTGGAGTACTTCATGATTTTGAAACTTGGATTTCTGTCTGTCGCCCTCGCTCATATTCCTTGCAATTTGGTATTGGAGCTGCTTCGATATCGCCGTTACCGGCGCTGGCAACTTTCTTACTTGGTGCGCTGACGAAGCTTCTACGCAGTGAGGATACATTGGCGCTGGCTTGATTAACTCCCGGGTAGGGGGGAATGCCGCCGGAAGGATGTGGTGACAGTGGATGTATGTGGGATGATGAGAGCATGCTGACATGGCATTTTGGCTGAGGTGGCACTCCATTGCATTGTGTGTGGTATCGAGGCTATGACCGGTCATCATAATGCGCGTCGTGAAACGGTATTCACCAGTTCGCAGTAGCGAATGCAGATCCCAGTGCTCGATCCCTAGTTCCCCATCTTACCTGTGTACAGTATGGATGTCAACCCGTAGGCTTGAACCCGCGACCTGTAGGACCGCCAGTGGTAGGCAGGGTTTCGTAGGTCACAG